TCTGTGTACCTATTAATCTTTCATTTAAAGCTTGTAGTACTTAACTTGGGAAGGTCAGGGATGTATTGTTATGTGAAGATACTTGATTGAGTAATATTTGCTCTACCACTTCATATGAATCCTTTCTAACCCTTCAAAAATCACACAACCACACACACAGAGAAAGAGGGATCCAGCCCTGCTCTTACAAAGAATCAATTGTCCTTCACTGACTTTTTCTATCCTTTCCAGCTCTATCCTTCCATCTCTCTCTCTCTCTCTCTCTTATTCGGCCCCAATTCTGCTCTTCATTATGGTGGTCATATCAAAAGCGGGTCTGTAAATGCAGTGTCCCTCTTTGCAGGCTCTAGGATGAAGACAAATCCATGGGGACAGAGATTACACTGAGTGTCTTGGAGTCTGTCTGCAGAAGAGAAGTTGGAAGAATTCTCATTACACTAGCGTTACGTCTTGGGAATAGCTGTCCTATTCTAAGATAAACAAGATACTTGACCCTTATGGATTACATTAGGACTATTGTATGCATACCCTCCCAGAGGACAGTTTTATTGCTCAACTATTGCTCAAAAAGAGTACTGTATTTATCAGTTGTCTGAGATACTTTTTCCAAAATGCTACAGTATAGAGGATATAATATAAAGAATATAAGAATATAGCATAGTAAAATTATCGTAGATGGCGGTAGCCCGGATTTGACCAGGAAGAAAAAAATACAGAAAATAATAATTCAAAATACAAAGTGTTTTTAAGCATTTAAATGGGTATAATTTCCTTCCCGTGATTTAGAGAATATTACTAAGAATTACATTAGAGTGACATTTTATTTATCATACAATTATATATTTTTCGGATTGGCTGAAAACAGTGCGATATACTGCAATATTAGAACTCGTACAGCCTCCTCACACTTATGTATTACTCCACCCAAATAGAGTGACAGCAGACCAATAAACTCACTGCAGTTTGACAAACATTGCTGCTGTTGGACAACATAATGTAATTTTGAGGCATTTTAGGTGGGAATGTTTAGATTACAACTATGCAGTTTAATATTTATAATTTTGTGAATAAAGTGCCATTCACAAGATTGCGACAGAGACTACGTAATCAGCCCTTAGTAACGTAATTTCTAACTACTGCTGATCAAATCATTATAAATACTGGTAAGTGACTTTCTAAGTCTTTTGTTTGTTGCAGTATGGTATTTTTACCATGTAATTGTAGTGTATTAAGTGTGAGATGGGACTCATATCAGGACTGTATGTACTTTGCATAACCCTGAGTTACTTTTTGATTTGCCATCATTTGTTTCTAATGAGTCTCCTGTTTTCGCTACTGCAGACTAGTTCAATAAAAAGTCAGAAAGAAGAAATGCCTGCATGTGTTTAGCGTTTGTTTCTTGCCTTTTTAGGGATTATTTATTGTGATCTCCCTATTGCATACTGGAAAATATCTCTGTAAGACTGATAGCATTTCATGCCTTTCAGCTTTATAATCTTAAAATGTGAGCAAAATCAGCTGTTTTTTCATCACTTTAGACATTACGCTAGAGAATCATTCAAATTCTAGCTCTAAAATGACGTTGGTGAAGTAGCAACGGTTATTGCTTTTTTGACCATCAGCTGCAGATGTGAATAAATGGCGGAAGAAAGTAGTTTTTTTTTATATATACATGATCATATCGTCAAACTGTTGTATACTGTTGTATTGTAAATTAATTTATTCAAATATTATTTATTTTAAGTTGTTATCGTTTTCAATATTTGCAGGTATATGCATCATTAAAGTATTCTAATAAATGTATGTTGAGTACATGCACAAAAGAAACACAGTTTATGGTGAACTATTCCTTTTTAAGAAAAAAGAAAATTTTTAAGTAAATATGATCTCACTTCTGGCTCGGAGATATATTGTAATAGAATTAGACAGACGGAGATTCTGTATTTTACTTTCTGCTAGGGACCTCTTAGGGCTGTGAGAGTGAAGAGGAAGAGTGGAAATGAGGAAGTTTAGGGCAGGAGAACTAAATGGTTAAGATCATGACTGTACTTTTTTTTTTTTTTTTTAAGCTCTGCCAGATAATCTTTGGTGAGAAGATTGAGTCACTTTCTCCAGTGAAGGATACGTTTTCTCGGGGGCTTTTTTTTGCAGAATTCATTAGACACTGGACTGTGATGAAATAAATCAAGAGTGAGAATCAAGGATAGAAAGCCATTCAAGAGGTGTTCAGTGGACAGCTTTTATTCCGATGGTTTAACTGAATGTTTTAAGAGTATTATTTTTGTTAGAGTGCACAAAATGCAGGCTCCATTACTGCGAGGGCTTCTCAGGCCAACGGTCTTGATTGAATGAATAATGCTACTGTAAATAGAAATGTCATTGAGCAATTTACTGCTGATTAATTTACGCAGATGAGCAAAAGTTCAGCCTATGCTGATTTGTATGAACTAAATTTAGAGTAATCTCATTAACATTGTTTTATGGAAATTACGTTATCTGGAAACAAAACATATTCTGGAAAAGATTTCTTTATCTGTAATAAATACTGCTTAGAATAATTCAATTTTGATAACGGTCTCCATTGAGTTTTTTTTTTTCCTCTGATTTTTTGCCATTATAAACATATTCACTGTGAAATGAGACTTGCTGTATGATTTCGTTTGGTAATCGCTCTGGTGTCATAAGATTGTGTAACTCAGTACATCGAGTCCTGGGTCAAAATTAATATACTTTACTCAGTACTAAGAAGCCAGATGCATAGGGTTTTAATATTTATTACATAATTATGTATTCATTCAAAGACATACAGTAGACAGATAGATATACACACAGATAGATATATGCACAGATAGACCGATTGATTGATTCAATTTATTATTATTATTATTATTATTGTTATTATTATTATTATTATTGTTATTCATATTCATTCATTCATTTTCTTTTTAGCTCAGTCCCTTTATTAATCAGGGGCTCCCGCAGTGGAATGAACTGCCAACTTATCCAGTACATTTTTTACATAGCGAATGCCCTTCCAGCGGCAACCCAACACTAGTACTCACATACACTACGGCCAATTTAGCTTATTCAATTCACCTGTACTGCATATGGCTGCACAGTGGCACAGTGGGTAGCACATTCACCTCACAACAAAAAGGTCTCTGGTTTGAGCCTTGGTTGGCATTTCTGTGTGGAATTTGCATGTTCTCCCCATGTTTGTGTGGGTTTTCTCGGGGTGCTCCGGTTTTCCCCACAAGTCCAAAGACATGAGGTATAGGTGAACTGGGTAAGCTGAACTGTCCATAGTGTATGAGTGTGAATGAGGGTGTGTGGATGTTTCCCAGTGATGGGTTGCAGCTGGACAGGCATCCGCTGTGTGAAGCATATGCTGGATAAGTTGGCGGCTCATTGCGCTGTGGCGACCCTTGATTAATAAAGGGAACAAGGTGAAAAGAAAATGAATGAATTTAATATACAAATATTTGCAGAATTGTGTGGCACGGTGGCTCAGTGGTTAGCACTGTTTCCTCACATCAAGAAGGTAGCTGGTTTAAGTTCCGGCCGGGCCAGTTGGTCTTTCTGTGTGGAGTTTGCATGTTCTCCCAGTATTCGCGTTGATTTTCTCCTGGAGCTCTGGTAATAAAAACATGAGATACAGGTGAATTGAATAAACTAAATTGGCCATAGTGTATGTGTGTGAATGAGTGTATAGGGATGTTTCCCAGTGCTGGATTGCAGTTGGAAAGGCATCCACTCCGTAAAACATATGCCTAAATAGTTGGCGGTTCATTCCGCTGTGAAAAAAATCTAAAATAGAGACTAAGCTGATGGAAATTGAAAAGTATAATTTGTTTATTATTAATTACAAATAGTCTTCTGTCCACCTCCCATTTCAAAGGACCTTAATGCCTCTTTGTTTCTTCTGTGCGTAGATAAATATCATTTCACTTGCCTTCATCCATTTATATTATACCCATTTTGCGGCAGTCCTGTGGATAACGGCATGGACCCAAAGTCACCATTAAATCCTGTCCCGCACCGCACTGTTGCATTGAGTCTTGTTTGAAATAATTTTGGTCTCAGCACCTATTTAGCTGTAAGAGCGTGGTGAATTGCATTGGTTTTATTTATTTTCCAAGATAAAATGTAATGCAAATTAAATAGATTATTTAATAAGTTTTAAAAAATCAGCCAAAAGGTTAATAAATGCATTTAGAAATGGTCAAATAAATGATCAAATAAGTAAACATAACACTGCCGAACCCCTATGCGATAGGATTGTGTATCAGCGATCTCACAGGGGACGATATGGCAATCTGAAAATTTCATATATCGCTCAACACTAATATACACTAGCAAAATAAACACTGTACATTTTGATTTCACTAAAGACTTTAAGAAACTTTTCAAGTCACAGCATGTTAACATTGCACTGTGTACAATTCAGAAGATTAGTAAAATAAATTTGTTATTCGAAAAAGTGATGAGATTGTACACTGAGTTGCTTTTGTACAACCGGTTATGGAGAGATAATAGAAGCTCTTGCATTTGTCTTTTTTGTTTCTCTGTACTTGCGGCTCTCGTGGTGCTCTTGTGGCACTTTATATCTAGGTTTAATTATGCCTGCTTGCTTTGACCTCTGACAGCCTATTTTAACCTGTCTGTGTTGCGGCACATAATCACTATTGCATTTACATAAAACCATGAATATTTATCACACACACTTAGAGGAAGATGTCACATCTCAATTTTCCATTACAATGCTTGTCAGATTGCTGTGATGCCACGCGAGTTGCTGTATTCAATGCATTACAATACAGATTCCTGAATGGAAGAGTTCTGTATTCTATTGCTGTAAAGGATTTGGTTGGCCCCTGAACAAAAAAAGTTAATATGGAGTGGTACTATTGTTGAGGAGATAAAGTTTTGTGCAATGTAAAAATGAGTCAATGATGGAGCCAACTGATGCTGTTTTAACCCGTTTGCTTGTTGTTTTGCAGATAAGTTTAATGTGTATGTCACACTGAAGGTCCAGAATGTTAAAAGCACAACCATCACGGTGCGAGGAGATCAGCCATGCTGGGAACAGGACTTCATGTTGTGAGTACTGCTGTGTTTTGTCATGGATTTCTGTAAATTTTCACTCAAATTTAGGCCTGATGCAAGGCACTTGTTCGCTGAAGGACTTTAAAATTGCACTCAAAATTACTTTGCTGTGGAAAATGGAAGACCGTGTTTATAATATGCTAAGTGTTACAGAAACACTTTTGCTTTTTTTTAAAATATAGAAACAGTCATATGTGATGTAAGATAAAGGGTAGGAATTGTATTTTAGAATTATTATACCTATTTATGTTCTGTGTTTATTTAGCGCAATGTATAGACTCACGCACTTCAGTGTCTCGTATCTTTGACCCTTTTGTAATGACAAATATTAAATAGGATTTTGATGTTTTTTCAGGCAGGTTTGTGTGTCCCAGAAATTATCCCCAATTTGTAGATTGTTGCAGAGAATTTTGCCAATCCTCTGAAAAGATTCTAAGAATCAGCCACGGTTATGCTTCTTTCACATTGGTCATGTGAGCAGAAGGTCTATTTTTGCAGTGCTGCTAACGCGCTATTAAAGCGACAATGCATTAATCATTACCTAAAACATGAATTACAATACAGTTTTACCCAATGAGTGAATTGCTAATGTCCTGTCGTTCGTTTATTCATTTTTCTAAGTCCCTTTGTTCATGAAGGTTTGCCACAGCCGAATGAACTGACAACTTATCTAGCATATGTTTTACACAGTTGATGCCCTTCCAGCTGCAACCCAGTACTGGGAAACATCCATACACATTTATTCACACACATACACTACGGCCAATTAATTTATTCAATTTAACTATGGCACATATATTTGGACTGTGAGGGAAACTGGAGACCCTGGAGGAAACCCATGTGAGCACAATGAGAACTCCATAGAAATGCCAACTGACCCAGCCGGGACTTCTTGCTGTGAGGTGACATCACTAACCACTGAGCCACCGTGTCACCTAATATCCACAATTTTTTATATTAAATTTCAATATAAAGGTATTTATTCAATACGTATTTCAATAAAAATGACTATAAATCTTAAAGCTGAACTACAAAAACAAAGTTAAATATTTTTTTGTATCAGTTTCACGATAATTTGACCATTTATTAATAATATTATAGCAATATAACTTGTAATATGCAAATTTTTGTTCTTCAGAAAACATTTCTGTTCACCAGTGATGAAAACCTTACTTTTATTAAAGGGATAATTTATACAAAAATAAAAATGTGCTCTTAATTTAATTATTCTCAGGCTATACAAGATATAGATTACTTACTTTTCTTCAACAAAATATCTCTTCAGTGTTTTACTAAAATAAATAAATAAATAAATAACATAGAGGTAAATCAAAATTAAGTTAATTGCCTTCTGATGATACATTAAAGTTTTACAAAGAAAAACAGTTAGTCTTTGCACAGGTACATTATTTTTAATATCTTTAATATCACCCTGAATGTGTTCACAACAATTGTCTTTCAAATAAAAAATATTGCGGACTGGAAACTTTTAATGTGGGTGGCGTAGTGGTTAGCACTGTCACCTCACCTCAAGAAGGTCACTGGGTCAGTTTCTGTGTGGAATTTGCATGTTCTCCCCGTGTTGACGTGGGTTTCCTCCGGGTGCTCTGGTTTCCCCCACATTCCCCAACCAGACATGAGGTATAGGTGAAAATAAATATGCTAAATTGGCCATAGTGTATATGTGTAAATGAATGTGTATGAGTGCTTCCCAGTACTAGGTTGCAGCTGAAAGGGCATCTGCTGTCTAAAACATATGCTGGATAAGTTGGTGGTTTATTCAGCTGTGGCAACCTTTGATAAATAAAGGAACTAAGCTGAAAAATGAATAAACTTTTGGTGCCCTAGCAGACTACAACCCTGTTGGATAAAGCAAAACCACTTTGTTTCATGTGTCTCTTTAAATGCAAATAAGGTGCTGCTCCCTGCCCGCTTTCCAAAACAAAACATCTGTATGAGTTTTAAAGCCTTGTCAGTTTTAATTCCTAATACATTTTGTTTTTACTCCACTGTCATTCAATGTATTTTAATGCACTGAATGAAGTTTAAAAGCACAATAGGAACTCTTTAATATCAGCCACTCTGTTTGACCATCTATGTGTAACCTAAAATCAAAAGCGATGTGGCTTTTACCACGCTATTTCGAAAAGCCTCATGTAATTATAGGTGCAGTGTGTTTGGATTCTAGGCCAGTGGCTCAGCTTTGTGTGTGTATGTGTGTGTGTGTTGGTGTGTGTGTGTGTGTGTGTATGTGTGTGTGTTCTGATCAACGGAGATCCTCTGTGCCTGGATTATTGTCCTCCTGCTGCTGAGCTATTACCAATGGTCGGCAGGTTAAAATCCACACACACATAGCACACATTCGCTATAGGATTGAAGCAGTATTGTGTGGATAGAAGGGCAACGTTCGTGTACTGAAAAAAGGAGGGAGTTATTGATAGCCAGAAGCTAGCAGGAGGTTTTAGATGAATAAATGTGAGGCTTGTTAGTATGACACGTTATGCAGAGAACTGTCACACTATCATATTTTAGAGCGGACGCAATAATCCCAGCTGTCATTTTTTTGTGGTTGTGGCTAGACTGTGCTGTTCACAGTGAGTAGATGGCCAGTTTAAATATGCTTCCCAGAGATGACGGGCTAAATTAATTGATCATCTTTTTCTGGGTTGTCTCCAATAATTGATTACATACAGGTGTTTTTTCAGGTTGAACACTTTTAAAATGCACTACCTGACAAAAGTCTTGTCGTCGATTTCAGTTGTAAGAGCAACAAATAATAACTTGACTTCTAGTTGATCATTTGGAGAAGGGGCAGAAGGTGTACTTTCAGATGAATCAACTGCTGAACTGCATCCCAATCATCACAAATACTGCAGAAGACCTATTGGAACCTGCATAGACCCAAGATTCTCACAGAAATCGTCAAGTTTGGTGAAGGTAAAATCAGGGTTTGGGGTTACGTTCAGTATAGGGGCGTGCAAGAGATCTGCAGAGTAGATGGCAACATCAACAGCCTGAGGTATCGAAACATTTGTGCTGCCCATTACATTACAAACCACAGGAGAGCACTTATTCTCATACTCATTAAAGTTCCTGTCAAGTTGATCCAGGATTGGCCAGCCCAGTCACCAGAGATGAACATTATTGAGCTTGCCTGGGGTAAGATGAAGAATCCTGATGAACTCTGGGAGTCCAGCAAGAACGCTTTCTTTGCCATTCCAGATGACTTTGTTAATTTATTTGAGTCATTGCAGAGATGAATGGATGCAGTTGTCCAAGCTCATGGGAGTCATACAGAATATTAATTCTTTTTCCACTGCATCTTGACTTTATATTTGATGATGTACATTACTTCTTTTAAGTGACAAGACTTTGTGTAAGCAAAGTCAGACCTTACTGTCCTAATTGAATAACTAAAAATAAAGGCATGATCATATTACATTTTTGGCAAAATAAGTGTAATCTAGAGGCCTTTGCCTTTCACTTTTGAGACCAAATGATCAGCTAGAAGTCAAGTTAATATTTGTTGTTCCTAAAACTTGGATAGGCGACAAGACTTTTGTGAGGTAATGTAGTGTCTACCATAAAGTAAGTTTTCCAATTCTATAATATTTTATGGTTTCCAATTGTAGTTTAAAAACTGAAACTCTGCATGACTTCATGTGATTTGATATAATTATTAATAATATTTATATTATTACTAATTTATAATTGATTTTAAAATCTCCTGAAATGGCTGCTTGGCTGGTTGGTTTCTATTTATAGAAGATCTATATACAGTGCACATATTAAATTGTATAAAAAATATATAAGGAAATATAAATAAGATGTGAAAAATTAGCATTACTTTCAAAGGTTTTTTTTTACTTGTGCAATAAAGAGCTGTCAAAAAATATTATTTTTTGATAGACTGATTGAGAAGAAAAATATTCTCTGTGTTGTTGGACCTGTAGTCATAGCAGAATTTAATAAATCAGTTGAAATGGACTAAATCTGCCCTGTCTTAAGAGGCTTACTTGCCCAAAATAGAGTATTGGTGTGACCGAGAACACGGAGATGATTTTTGATTCACTGATATGTTTGGGAAACTTACAAGAACTGCTTTTTATACTGCACATGGACAAATCATTTATATGTTTATTCGTTTGTGTTCAGATCAAAATTTAACAGACACAGACACAATAATTACTTTTTTTGTTCAAAATACACATTCTTGCCTTTGTCAAATAAACAAACATGCATGTCATGCGAATAAAATAGTGTTTGCGTCACTGGACAAATCCTGGTTTTGTGGAGAGGTACAATACCAACTGATTATGCAATGCCAAGATTAGGATTAATAGCAGCTGGATTGTAATGTAGATCATGATGGACTGCACTATAATAAATAGTTTTATTGTATTTTTTTATGTCAACTCTATTTCAAAGCTGAATATTGATGGTTATCTATTATTTATGAGGGAGCTGTAAAATAATACATATATGAAGTCAAAATTATTAGCCCTCCTGTGATTTATTTTTTTTATGTTTCAAACATGGTGTATAACATTATGAGCATTTTTTTCTATAATATTTTCTTATTTTAGAGAAAGTTGTGATTGTTTTATTTTGGCTAGAAAAAATATAAAATATTATTTGATTATAAAATAATATTAAGGTCAGTATATTATTAGCCCTCTTAAGCAATATATATACATTTTGATTGTCTGCAGAACAAATTACTGGTATACAATGGTTTGCCTAATTACCCTAACTTGCCCAGTTAACCTAATAATTAACTTAGTTAACCCTTTAAATCGCACTTTAAGCTGAATACTAGCATCTTGAAAAATATTTAGTAAAATATTATTTACCGTCATCATGGCAAAGATAAAATTCAATTCAATTAATCTTTATTTGTATAGCGCTTTTACAATGTAGATTGTGTCAAAGCAGCTTCACATAGAAGATCATAGTAAATTGAAACAGTGTAGTTCAGTTTTCAGTGTTTAAGT